GCTCCAAACTGGGTGATGCTCGTGGGTGCTCGGCTGCAACCAAGGGGGGTTGTCCCCTTTTTGATCTGCTCTCCTCCAGCCCTATAGCATTTCCCCACACTTTTGAGGACCGCTCGGGGGGGGAGACACTGTGCACCCATAGCACCCAGCTGGGACGGAGGAGGAAGGGAAAAGCCCCACTCACCGATTTTTTGGGTCGGCCTCGAGGTTTTCTCCCTGGTGTGACTGTGGCTTTCTGAGTAGAAAAAGGGACATTTTTGGTCAGGCTGGGGCCATCCCCTCGCCCCGGGGATGCTGCAGGGGGGAGGTACGGGTGGTGTTCCCCTTCCTCCTGCCCCCCCCCTGCCAAATTCATCACCCCAGTGGCATCTCCCAGGCCGTGACTCACGGGGCAGGCGCAGGATGTGAGTCGCGTGTTTTGCAAACAGGTCCACGGCGTGTGCCCACACACTGACACACGCGGCCCCCAGCTCCCCCCCAACCCCTCCCAGGGCCAGGTCTGCCCCAAATTGAGCCCAAAACGGCGCTGTCCCCGGTCACCTTACCCTGCCTTTCGAGGTGGCCTTGTTTTTACTGCCCTTTGGCCGCCCGCGGGGTCTCTTGGGGGTCGGGGCTTCGCTGGGCTCCTGCTGGAGGGAGAGCACAGGGGGGACTGCTGCAGATTTGGGGTCCCCTTAGAGGGATGTGTGCCCAGAGCAGCTCCCGGTGCAGCAGCATGCCCCGAGATGCTCCAGGCTGGGGCCCCAAGGCGGGGGGTGCTGTTGATTGCAGTACTGGGAGCACTGGTTTAACTGGGATGGGCGGCAGGCCCAGGCTGCTGGCGTCCTTCAGCCGGGTGCGTACGTGACCCGTCCCACCCCGCATTAATCGCTCGGCTTAGCCCAACCATCCCCGCCGGGCTCCCAACCCCGGACCCTCGGTGCTGCTGCCTTGGGGGGGCACCCAAAATGCCTTTTCTGTGGGAAAAAGATGGGCACAAACCCCAAACTTGTCCTTGGGGGGGGTGTTGGAGGTGGGGGGTGGCACCGCAAAGGCTCTGGCAGAATCTTATCCCTCTGAGCAGCTTTGCTAATGGGGCTTTAATTAGCCCTGGCAGGGGCAAGTTCAGCACAGGGAGGAGCTCTGGGGGAGGCTGGGAGGGGGATGTGAAGCCCCTCCAGGAGGGATTTGCTGCCCATGAGCACCCAGGAGGTGCTGCCCAAATTGGGGGCTGCATCGTGGGCATATCCATCCCTGCCCGGGGGTGCTGCTG